TGAGCTTGTCGCAGATATTTTTGATTCCTCTTCTGTGGAACACAGACAACCTGGTTTCTGAGTATAAATCAGCCTAAAGACTGTGTAAAGTAGAAATAACTGTGTGTTCTTGGTTTGTCACACTACAAAAATATGTTGTATTATTCACCCATCCGATTTAAATGATTAAAAATACTTCTGGTGAGACGTAACAGATTCACTTCTTCTTTTGACTGCTGGCCTAGGTTCTGTGGAGCTGCTCGGGCTCTCTCCGCCTGAGTTTAAGTATCTTTTCTACAATAACTCTAACTTTCCAGTAGCACTTTTAAACTTGGCTTGTACAGCTGCACTTTTCTATCAGACGGCTTGATGCATTCACAGGTTTTTTTATTTCCAGTAGTGAGGGATAGCTGGCCTAGGCTAGTTGCACGCAACCGGTGTATTCTGGCCTTAAGGATATGTGAAGGTCCTTTCCAGGTTAATTACAACACTGTGAGCGATAGTGTTGGATCTCCTACTGTATTTGGGAGGATTTTTCTTGTTTCTCTTCAGCTGCAGGACAAATGGCCTCACATTCAACCCTTTACTTCAACCAATCCAACCCCAATGTACCCAACATCAGATTTGCACCTGATCATCAAGGTCTTTCCCTCTTAGTGCTGTGTTGACAACAGACTTGAACGGTCCGGAGGAAATTTCTATCTCAGTTTTAGATGATTTCATAAACATGCAGAGAAGGCAAACCGTTTACAACATGGAGGATACCACAAGCTGCACCAGAAACAGGCTGGATTTCTAACAGTATTAATAATAATCCCCCCCACATAAACCTAGAAGCTTCCATCATGAGTTAATTTGTATAATTAAAAGCAAGGCAGCACGTTCCAGTTAAACCCAGCAGTTTGCGAATCTTATTAAGGATTATGAGATGATGGGTGGGATCTTTTTGATGAGCTTGGCTCTCATGTTGGAAGTTTTTTTTGTTAACAGCGAACATTTGTAAGTGTCTGGCACCCACCTTTTTTTTTTTGTTCAAGTTTTTATTTGATTTTACAACTTTTAACATGAACACTTCAACTGCAGTAGTCATGTAACTTACATCCTTGCATATTTTACGGGCCCATAACATATTTAAAAACCAAAACAAAAGCCTGTAGGTAAGATGTGCAAAACAAAAATATAAAAAACATATATATAAGAAAAGGCAGAAATGTTATCCCAGTCGCATTTATAACTAGTCAACAATCTGCCCCGAGGATTCATTAAAAGTATTATAGTCATCATTTATTCTAGACATTTTTTCATCTGAAACTATTTTGAATATATCGTCTTTCCGCTTTTACGCACACTCAGTGCATAGTGCATCCAGACACCCAGAATTACTCTTGCTGATGTTATTAGCCCAACTTTTACAACCACATACTCAGATTTCTTTTATCCTGGAATCAGAGATTTATCTCCCAACCAACTTAACCTCGTTGACTTTAGTATGGTCACGCCAATACATGTACCAATTTGATCTAATACTTGCACCCAAAAAGGGTAGATCTTATTGCATTCCTAGACAGCATGTATAAACGTTCCCGTGACTGATTAACATTTCCAACAGTTACCATTTGTCATAATCCCCATTCTTTAAGTGTAGAGGGGGTTAGATACCACCTATGTGTTAATTTATACCGAATAAATTTCCCTTTGGCCTCCTTTACAAATTTACAAGAATTTAAAAATATTTTATCCAATTTGTCCTTATTTATGGTAAACGCCTAATCATTTTGACAAATAGTTCTTAAAACAATCCACTGGACTCTGTTTCCAAGTTTGAAGATGTTTTGCTTCCCATCCAGGAAGGTTTTTCTTAGGTTCTTGCATATTCCCTTTTTTAAATTATTAAACTATTTGTATAACAATGCTGCCCTTTGTTCCCCAATGGACAATTTACAGAAGTCCATAACTGGATTTACCTCCTGTGTAATATTTTTTTTGGTAGTAGAGTTCCTCAACTGCAAATACCTCCAAAAGTTACCAATTTTTCCAGACTATAATTTAGTATCAAATACTCAAAAGACATAAGCACCTCATCTTTATAGAGGTCACCAATTATTTGTATTTCTTTGTCAATCATCTCCTTCCAATAGAACGCTCTTTCCCCAATCCGTAACGCCGAGTTATGCCACCATGATGCATATAACTCTAACTTTATGCAATTCTCTCAATACATGTTCCTCTGGCACCCACCTTTGACATCCTTCCGCTAAACACTTCCGTGGCGTTTGACAGGACCTCCAGTACCACATCCGCTGCTGGCATGGAGGCGTACTTTTTCCTGAGATCAGAGTTTCCTACAGAGGAGAAAGAACCTGCGCCTTGCATTGGTTCTAAAATGCTCTTCTTGACTTTTTTCAGTCGATCCATAGTTTCTTCCTCAAGCTCTCTCTGGATCACCTCTCTGGCTCGCTCCAAAATGCCTTGCTCGCATCGGCTCACCTTAATCAGGCTCTTTAGAGGACACAGAAAAAAAGTTTTGAATTAGACCGGATCAAGTATATGATACAGGAATGTTTTTAGTTTTTAGTAATCTGTTACACTTTATTCTGCTTCCATTTTCTTCCTGCTTCAATTTCTTAAAATTGAATTGAACTGATAGACTGTATTGATCTCTTAAGTGGAGATATTTACATGTCACATCTGCTCAATAGTCAAAATGAAGGTGCTAAAAGGAGGACAAGGTGCATGGGGTATATATATATTATACAATAAAATAGAAAATCCCTTTATTGTACCACAATTGGGAAATTCTGGTGTTACAACAACAAAAAGATTGTAGAAAAAAATGGTCACACAAATGCAGACACACACACACACACACATATATATATATATATACATATATACACTTACTGCACTTGGGATTTAAATATAAACATTTTTATCTATTGACTAAACTTTTTTCAAAAAATCTTTTCTAATCCAATAAAATATTTTTCTCTGACTGGTTTTAAAATCTTTAGTCCAAGCTGATAACAAGGTCTACCAAAGAAAAGGTTTTATTAAAAAAACCCAGAAAACCCACATCCTGTCAGATGAAGACGGCGATTAGTCAACCGTTTATTTATCCTTACTGAAGAACGTCGGGTGTCTTACCGAAATGGGCAAACCAAAGCCGTTTATCCGGATCCCCAGCTCGTATGGAGATTCACAGTTGTAATGATCAGCCAGGTGCTGCAAAAACTCAGCCAGGTCTAACCTCTGCTTTGAATGCCTCTTCCTAAAAACGTTAATTTGCTGAAAAAGAAGAAGAAGCAGCGACGTCAGGCATATCTGATGTTACCTTTAATTCGGGTTTTCTGAGCCTTACCTTTAAGATGTCTACGGTCTCGATCTCATAGATGTCGTCATCTCTGGTGTCACTGTCAATCTTGAACATGCGATGCACAAGAGGAAGCTTGCAGAGGGGCCCCATGTTCAGCTCCTCAAAGCGCTTCTTGTCCTTCATACCTGCTAGCGACTGACCAAGCTCGTACAGGGTGCAGATGGACGTCACCGCCTCACTAGCCTTAAGTTAAAAGCAAGAAAAATCTCAGCACGGCAGCATAACACTGGAACATTTAGGACACCTATCTACCCACCTCTATGAACATGTTGATCTCTCTTGTGAGGTACAGAAGATTATGTAGAGCTGGAACGGCCTTTGGGTGTAGCTTTCTAGGGTCTAAAGAAGGATTCATTTGACAAACTCTGGATATCACCTAGAAGAAAGAGCAAATAAATAAATAGTTTTATTTCTTCTCTTCAGTTTATAGCAAACGTCTGATTTAAATAATAGAAACAAACAAATCCTAATCATTGTCTTTCCTTCCACCAAAGGGATTTCTTTTATCTTGTTCCACTTCACCTTCTCCTTTGTGACAAGCTCCCCCTCAGAGGCGATTTCTCGTATCACGCTTTCCGTCATGCTGTTGATCCATTCCGGATCCATGGCTCTGTTCCTCCCTTTGGCCCTTTCACCCTCATCCATCTCCATGGCTTCCACGGCCCTCATGTTGCCCCCATGGACCTCCCTCTGCTGGGCATGAAACCGTTCCCTGAAGACAGGTGCGCCGGCCTCTTTCTGACTGGCTTCTTTTGCTTTGGTTTTCTTTTCTTTGGTCTCTCCAGTGCTTGCTCCCAGCTCTGGGAAGTCTTCTGCAAGTCCAATCTCTTCTTCAGCATTCTTTGTAATATTTTGTGCTGCTGTAAGAAAGAAAGAAAGCAACCATTTATCTTTTAGTTAGAGGTAACAGAAATATGGATTATGATTTAAAAAAATGTGTTGGTTACCTTGGGTTGTCTGCCATGCGTTAGTTTTGGGTTTTGCTGCTGATTCAGCTGCAGCCGGTAGCTTCTGCACTTCCCTGTCATACAGGGACATGTACTGCTGGAATGGAAGTGGTTCACCATATAACTGAGAGTATCCCATTTGGAGCTGCTCCATTGTGGGAACTAGTGGCTGAAATGCCTTTATTACCTGAAACACATCAGTACAACGCTTATTCAGATAAAGTACCCCATACATTTACAAAAACACAGTCTCTAGGTGAATTAAGAGTCCCATCTATCATTATAAGGATATTCTACAGTAAACCCAATAGGGGAAAAAACTTCTATGTTGAGACATATTTGTTTTTAAGAACTATACATAATTGGAATCCCAGATATTTTCCTTTAATTTACCAGCAAATTTCATCTATGCTTCTACTTTCAATTTATTCGGGAACTTATAAATATTAACTTATGACTTTCTGTTTTCCTGGGGTTTAAAATGGCGGCACGTAGGTCTGCTCCACCTTCCTACTCTTCAAAATAGGAAACAAAACAATGCACACCATTCATCACATATTGAAGTTACCAAGGAAGGACAAGGATACAGTAATAAACTACTTGGCCAACATCACGTAAATCTATGTTTAGGTAATAATATCAAGGTTTTAGTTTAAAAGGACTGAATGGATCAAGGTTGGAAATGATCCTATAACAGGAAAACTCACTGAACAGTAAGAAGGCTTGTCATTATGCAAAAAAATGAAACAGAAATTATCAATGAAATTGTATGTTTTAGTATTTAGGCAAGCTTATTTATATTTACTATTTATTTATCGCATTCAGTGGGAAGAAAAATATAAGGGTTGTACATGACCGAAAAAAGAAAGAAAAAGAAGAGTACACAGTAGTGGCGTAAAGGAGAAACAAATAATTAAAGAGACTAAAGGGGAATAATCAAAATAAGACATAACATAAAAAATTATTAAAAAAAAAAAAAAAATAGAACACAGCTTAGACCTGGAAATGAACTAATAGTAATTAGATAGCATAGTCAAAGGCCGCTCTAAACAAACATTTTTAATTTTAGCATAAGAACCTAAAGCGCAAAGAGCATAACAACCCAAAGCTTCTTCTCCATGTGTGGTTCTGGGTTTGCAGAGTAGACTTGCTTCAGTACACTGAGAGCTCTGGATCAGGCTTTTAGCTAATTATATTTTATAGGTTGTACACCTTTGAGTATCACATCTTTAAGCTTTATTTGGCGTAGGGGGGTCTGAGGGTATCCTCCTCCAGAAAATGTATGAAATTAGAGTCTCTGAAATGCTATTTTCTGCATTTTGTGGCAGCTAACTTTTTGTCTTTGTTCCAACACTATTTTTGTCCAGATTACGGAAGTATGTGTGCTTGACTAGAGGTGTAAATTTCATAAGACATGAGATCCTTTTTTTTTTTTACAATATTGTGTTTAATTGGTTAATTCAACAATCAGAAAGCATAGTACGAAGTTAACACCGTGATACAAGCAGAAAAAAAGCATCTGCCTCTTCCTTTTTGATGCTTGTACACATTAAGGTCAGACTAACTCAAGAGCATCCTTGATGCTCCTCAAGCGCGTCAACTAAAGTGTATCCAGATGTGTCTGATGCTTCTGCTGCTCCTGTGTTCAATGGCAGAGTTGCTTTGCTATATTTGCTGTGATCAGTGGGTAAAAAGTTTTAATACATTATTATGCAAGAAATTCTCAGACCCCCCACATACCGGCGTTGCACTGCTACTGGGAATCCCCGGCAGCAGCTGCCTCAGGCCTGGTCCCCTCTTGGGGGTTTCCGCTACTGTTCGTGGCGACTGAAAGTAGATATTAGTGTTTTTGAGGTATGTGGTACAAACTGCAGGCACAGGAATAAAAAAGCGACCATATTTTTCCAGCAGATTTTGACATTTGAAGTGAATTGAGGAGTTATTTATCTGTTTCATTTGGGCATTGCTGTATTTATCTCCCTGCAACTTGCAGATCAGCTTCTCTGATTGGTTTATGTGACGGGTTGAGCAGCAAAAGTAAAATTTTTCCTACTCCAGCATCTGCTGTTTTTGAAATGTTGAACATTTGAGTGACGTTTCTAGGGGAAAAACAGGGAGTACAATTTTTATAACACATTTCTAGCTAAAAACCTGGTCTGGATGATATACTGACAACAGTTCTGTGATGTATTTTGGAGCTAAGCTATTCAGTGATTTATAGACTAACAGAAGCAACTCTCTGAAATACGATGACTGAGTGCAATGACTTTAGAACTGAGCTGATGCGCTCTACTTTTCAGCTTTAGTGAGGATGCTGGTAGCAGCATTCTCTATCAACTGCAGCTGTCTGATCAAATTTAAGGCAGACCTGTGAAGACATTGTTGCTGTAATTCATTAATTAAAAAAGATCAGCACATGTTTTACTTTTTCAAGATCCTACTGAGAATTTTTTCCTTTTATCCTGGAGGGGATAGTAGGCCAAGCTAGTTACTGTCTTTATGAGCCTCTGAAGGTTCAGATCTGAGTCCACTGCTGCACCTAGATTTACAGCCTAATTTGTGGTTTCTGGCTGTATTTACTGAATCTGTGCGTTTACTTTTAAATGCTCTTCCTTTGGTCTAAAACTATTACTTCAGTTTCATTTTGATTCAGCGGAAGAAAGTTTTGTCCCATTCAGTGTCACCTGATGTGTCGTCTGCATAGTTATGGTAACTTACGTTGTTGTTTATTACCTTTTGAGTTATGGGGAGCATGTAGATATTAAATAAGAGGGGCTCTAAGATGGACCCTTGGGGAACGCCATATACGATTTTTCTGGCCTGTTACCTTAGGGTTCTTGCTGCCATACTTCAGCGTACTGGACCGGCACACTGAAATGTGTCTTTGCTAAGCTGAAAATTAGGCGGCTACACAAATTTTCTATGAGTATATCAGCCTCTTGAATTAACTATGTTGTCTTTGTGTCATCTTTATCATGTCAATAGACAATGATAAAGCAATATTAGCCTGGAGAATCTTCCCAATAAAACAATCAGCAGCCCATATCTGTATTAATTAAACTGACATTAAAATAATTGCTATTAACTTCACCCTTTAAAAAAACTATAAGTAGATAGACATATTAAAAACACGATATCCAGACATAGATCCTCAATCCGCTAGAAGACCTGATATTAAGAGAGCAGAAGAGTAAGGACCAACGGCCCGTATACATATTATAATTTCAGTACGACGTTAACCATCTGCTATGAAAGCATTTTTACAGATTTTAAGCTATAATAATTAGGGATAAAGCAGAAGTACTTAAAACGTCAGCAATGTTTCAATGCCTGTAAAGTTCCAGTAACCTGTCAATCTCATAATTGACCAAAGATATGTCAAGATGATCTTACCAAATCCTTTCACAACAATAATTAAATGGATTGAGCCTTAAAAAAAAGTGCTCATTTACATCTGCAATATGAAAGCAGTTTTAAAGTAATTCTCAATACATTTTTGTTTATGTCACATTTTATGAAAGTAAGAAACAAAATTTCCTACTTCAGCTCTTTAGGTGTACTTTATCAATAAAATAAAAATATATATACCAGAGGTCAGGGATTAGGTGACCCCCCTTATGGCTAATCCGGACCCAACCTGATTTAAAACATTTATAAATTACAGCATGTTGTCCGTCTACAGTGTCTAACTTCACTTGCGCCTCTTCTCCTGGTAATATGGTAAAGCCGTCCGGAGCGCAGAGACCAGGCTACACAAGATACAAATTAGCCAATGAGCTGCTGTCAGTCTGGTTTGCTGCTGCTGCTACTTTTAGACGCAGTAGGAAAACCTTTGGAAACCCAGGCGATGGGAAAGAAGGAAAAGATGATACGAAAAAGAGAGCAGAGAAAGTGTGGACTGCTGGAAGAACTGCGGTGAACTGGTGACAGAAAAGTGAAATGGCGTGCTCAAAGGTGACCCTGCACATTTAAAGTATGCTTGGCTCAACCTGCTGCTGTGAAGCAGGATTCTCCACCATGAACAGAATCAACAATAAATATGGATCCAGGCTCAAAATGAGCACCTTGATATGTGCTTTAGAATGGCTTTGTCGCACTGCTCTCATTAAGCGTAGAAAAGAAAAAATAATAACAAACGGTAAGTTCAGTTGTTTTATAAAGTATGCGAATAAGGAAATTGTCTATATACCAAACTAAATGATTGTTGTTCTCTACTTAAAAAAACACTTTAGCTTTTAAAATGGAATAATTTTCTATTTTTTTAATAATTTTTTTTATTTAAAACGTCAATGTATAACATGGATGCATGAAAACCTTGTTTTATTTCAGGGTTAAATTCTGTTTAAAGTAACAGATTAAAATTAAAAATGTCTTCGGACCTTTATTGGTTGAAGATTTTCTTTATTGGACTCCGCTGTTTTTTAATTGGTTACCCCTGATATATACTTTATACATACCTCCATCACTCTCTGTAGCAGCTGGTCTTGGCTGAGCTGTATAGCTGGCTGGGATGCGGTGAGCGGTGGGTTCCCAGGAATGTAACGAACTGAGGCCATCAAAGGCGAACCGATAAGGTTATGGTCCAACTGTGACGCAGCTACCTGAGCTGCTGGTTGGTTACCGTTCCGGCTCTCCTGAAGACATTCTGCTCTCTGTGGTGTCGTGGGTCGACTTGCCTCTCTGATATTTGCTGATGTTTCAGCCAAGGGTTGACCTCCAGGGAGGTATATCTTATGGAAAACTCTCTTCTGCTTCACAACTAGATCCTCTTTCAGTGATTCTACCAAACATGAAATATTTTTGAAACCCAAATCAGATAGGGAGAAGTTCTGCTTATACGACAGGTCGTAGAATATTTCCAATTTCTTCAGGGGAATCCCCTCTGGGTGTTCCTTTACTAAATCAACCACATTTTCCAGGATAACTGCAGCCTGAGTCTGCTTTGGTTGAGCCTTTGTTGATGTCTCAGCTTGAGATGGAGCTGGCCTGTGTCCATCTGCGGCAGCCTCCTGGCCTTGGCGACGATGTTCCTTATGAAACACCACCTGTCCCTCCATAACCAGCTCCTCCAGAGAGGCAATCATGCTCTGCATGGAGTTGAAGTTTAAGTCACGTATAGTTAGGTTAGTGTGATATGTCTGGTTGTAGAACTGGGAAAGCTTTTTCAGTGGAATCCCATTCTGGTGCTGCTTCACCAAAGCAACTACGTTTTCCAGAACAACATCCATCTCACTGCAAAGGGAAAAAAGACAAATCAGTTAAAGGATAAATAAAATCTGCCAGGGATTATATAAATGAAACTAAAAAAAGAACTGATCTTCTCGCAATTTAATTGATTGATTTCCATCCATCCATCCATCCATCCATCCATCCATCCATCCATCCATCCATCCATCCATCCATCCATCCATCCATCCATCCATCCATCCATCCATCCATCCATCCATCCATCCATCCATCCATCCATCCATCCATCAGCAGTGTGTCGCAGTGAGCTTGTCGCAGATATTTTTGATTTATGCCAAATTTTGAAGTGTTGTCTGTGCTATGATATTCGGGACAATCAGGAACTAGCTGTGGGTCTAGGTACGACCGAGGCAGTGAGGAAGTGTGGGCAAGTTTGTGCAACAACGGAGGGACATGAGGGTGAAAAAGAGCGGGGATCCATGTGGAAAAAGGACCCCAGCATTCTGGCGCACATCGCTTTTCTAGCTGGTCCATCTTCATGAGTCGTTTTCCACAATGGTGGTCATACAAACAAAACAAGCTGATAAGGTACCACACAGGAAATATACATAGTGTAGAGCGGATGTAGATTTGACCAATCAGAGGCCTCCTGTCTGCAGTCACCTACAATTTGGGAGAGGTGTGCTTTTTTTAGGACGCTTTTTACATTTTATTTAAATAAAACTCCATTTTATACCACATTCAGCAGTCTAATGGCAGTGGGGAATCTGCTGGACCTGCATCGGATGCTTCGAAGCCTCTTCCCAGAGGGCAGCAGGGAGAACAGTCCATGGTGGGGGTGTGAGGGGTCATTGATGATGTTATGGGCTCGAGCAACGCAGCACTGGGATGAAATGTCTTAAATGGAGGGGAGAGGAACACCGAGGATCGTCTCGGCTATTCTCAGTGCACATACAAAGAACAGCCCAAAGACCCCTTATGATGAATACAATAGAAAGACATATTGTTCCTTCTCCTGGACGCGGGTCAACCCGGCCCCACTCTGAAGCCTGGCCTTGAGGTGGGGCACGCTGGCAAGTGCCTAGTGGCTGGGCTTTTACCCATGGAGCCCAGCCGGGCAAAGCCCAGAAAAGAAACATGGGTCCCCTTCCAATAGGCTCACCACCTGCAGGAGGGGGCCAAAGGGGTCGGGTGCAATGTGTGATGGGTGGCAGTCGAGGGCGGGGACCTTGGTGTTCTGATCCTCGGTTGAAGAAGCTGGCTATTTGAAATCAGATTGATTAACTCTAAAGA